TGAAATTGCATCCTTTCCACTGTTAATATTACGAGGAAGATCTCCAAAACCACATTATACTCCTTGTGAGGCATCAAAACAATTCAGCCAAATGACCCTTCAAAGCTGCTTGTCTGCTTGAAAGTGTTGCTCAACCAGGCATTAGAGATGTGCCTGGTTGAGCCTTTCACAGACCAGCAACATAAGTGAGCTCTGCCCTCGCTGTGTTCCATCATAAACACACATGATCAAGACAGTTTATTCAGCAGGGAGAAGCAACACAAACACAAAGTTTGCCTGCCTAAACCATCTTTTAAACGTGAATTCTGGGCATTGTTGGGCGACTCGAGGTGGGACATCACGCGAAAGTTGCCTTTTCTTATATACAGACATCTTCTTACTGCTTTGGTTTAAATAAGGGAGCTACCTCAGTAGAGCTTGCAGGAGACTGTATACATGAATACCACTTGCTCCTTGCAGATTAACTGGACCATTACCACCACTGTTCTTACATGGGTGCATTCAGGCCTCAAAAGGACTTTGTATTAGAGAGCTGGCAGATTAAAGACCATTTAATGTGTGCGTAAGCTCTGCCGGGTAATGTCTAAAGAATGTTAGTGCAGCAGTGCATGTGTATCTTTAGTGAGCTGAGCTGATAAAGAGACTTTAACAAATGTTTCAATGTTATTAGTTCTACGTTTCAAGTGTCAGTGAATCTTTCTGTTACACTCTTTTCACAGAGATGCTTCACAGTCACAAGTCTTTTCATCCTGATGAGTCACCAGAGCAGCTCTGTGTGTTCTTTGTCATTTCCTGGTTCTTGTTGTTCACAGTGTATATTTACAGCAACATACTCATTATTGTCTCTGTTCTCCCCTAGGCTCTCGCATCTTACCGAGCCTACCTCTTGACGGCACGCATTCCTGCCAAGGTAAGAGCAGTTGAGAATAGCATACTTTACTAAATGAAGAGTGTAGTATTGTGTTAGAAAAGTACTTTTAGGGTTCATTTTTTCCATTTAAATAAATCATATTAAACTGTTGAAATCACTTCAGAAGTTTTGGAACTTCTTGGAAAGTTTTCTGGAAACGGTTTCTGGGATTTTCCTTGCTAACTGGCTTCATTCTCCTCTTTCACTACGTGTTTGTTGCGAGAGAAAAACACAAACTTAAAAAATGTATATTAAAATTTTTCTGGTTAATTTCAGAATATGAAGACTGAACCAAAAGGTTCATGACCATAAAACCAAAACAACAAGCTGCTTGTTGTCTGAATAATGATCAGTGTGTTGCAACTCTTTTATTACACACACAGTAGCACTGTTTTCTCTTCATTATTAATGTTGTAATGCTTGTTGCAGGCAGCAGTGTGTGATATTTCCTTACAGCAGAGTTAGCAATTCTGTTTCAGCCATCATTTGCTCTCACTGGTGATACAGGGAGCAGTTTTGGATTTAAATAGATACTTTTAAGTTTGTGTACCTGAAGCAGTTCTAAAGCTTGCTGGCAAATCCTTTTATACAGTGGTGCGATAATGCAGTGCAGATGGTAACTGTCACCAGCACTGAAATATCCCTCATCATCTTTACAAGCACAGTCACCACTACCACATAAAAACCAGCAGTGCAATAACACAACACAGATGTTCATGCAAAACTACTGTTACCATCACTACATGTATTATCAAGGTTAACAGCAGACTTGTGCTGCTGTTTTTGCACAATAAAAGTTGTTTAAAATAGTTTTGTCCAATCCTGCATCTGTAATATTCTGATAAAGAAAAAAAATAAGCAGAACGTATTACAGGAGTGTGAAGTGGGTGAGCCAGTGGCCAAGGGTTTACTGGCTTTTCTGTCCATCTTTGAGCTCATTTTTTTAAAAGCTTGATCTTCTATTTATACTTGTCAAAGTACACATAACACACACAGACCCACAAGGTGGATACAGCACCATCCGTGCTGTTGCGGCTGCTAATGCTAATGAAACAAAAAAAAGTGATTAAGCACGTTTTCAGTGTCAGCAGTTTTCAGCAGTAGTAGTGACTCATTGTCAAAAATAGCCTCTAGCCTGACCACATGCATAACCAAAGCTTAGAGTCATAAACCCAAACAGGGATGTGACTGTATATAGAAAACACCTACAAAATCTGGACTCACCTGACAGGACAGGAAAGCTTTAACAGTATTTCTCTCAAGTCGCAATATTGCATACCATCTTATTTTAAAAGAAAAAGCTGCCTGCTCTCCAGTGAAAAAGGTGCCCTGGAGACAGTGCAGTTGGTTGATTGACTGAACACAGAAAACATCATAGTTCACTCTTTCACATAACATCATTTTCCACTTTGGAAAAGTTTCTAGTGTTATGAGCCACAAGTTTAAAGTCTGTTTATTTAGCTGGTTCTGAATCTGTTTTTTATCTGTCTGCTGTCTTTTGACCAGAGGGATTAGACACCTGCTTTATAAAGAGCCGCCCCCATATCTCATCCTGCATTCGGATCTTTTTCCACCTTTTTTTTCTTGTCTTGGCTTAAACACTTCTTCTGTTGAGAGACAGTTCTTTCTCTTGTAGTGAAACCAATCTTTCTTTGGTTAGCCAGATCACAGCCACAGATCACCTTTCCTCCCCTATTTCTTTTCTCACTCTTATCCTGCCAATCTTTTTCAATAATCCATTAGTTCATCCGTTTCTCTTACGCTGACACCTCTGTTTCCGTCCCCCACTCACTACAATGCCAAAGGTCAATGGGATAACTAGTATCTTGTCTTCAGTGGATTGACTTTATTTTAAATGAATTTCTATTACATTAAGCTGACAGGCAGAAAATCTATTTTTTCGATTTTTTTTTTAAGGAAAAATTAGTTTTGTGATTAATTTTTTGATTGACTAATTTTTGCATCAACAAAAAAGTTTCAAATCCAAATTTGTTGTAGTTGCCAAATCTTTTTCCGCTAATCTTTTTCATTTTTTCATATAAAACTCATTAAAGATCCTTTATTATTGTTATTATTATTATTATTGTTAATAGTAGTAGTATTAGTATTATTCATTCACTAGTGCCAACTAATGCACTAATGTTATGGGTGGTTTCTTGGCGCCTGTTATTAAAACTAGAAAAAGAGAAAAAGTAAAAGATTGTTACCATATTTCTCCTAAATTTACTTTTCTAATGTAAAGTCTGTTTCACAGCCAAGATCAATCAATCCTAAATAAAGTTTAGCTTCTCCTCACTCTGGATCCTCTGTACTCACCTTCTGTTGAAAGCTGGTTGTTTTTAATACAACAGATGATTTTGTATTATTTTATGGTAAAAGGTGAATGCATGGATTCTTGTATAGTGATCTTCTACTTGAGCACTCATCTATTATGCATAAAAAGTGGTAATGCTTTAAAACCCTATAGGAGCACAAACTATAGGATGGGGATTTCATCCGTATTGTTTTCCTGAAAGCAGCCCGAGGCCTTAATGTTGAAGTGTTTTTAGTGTATAAAAGTAAAACCTCAGTTAAACATTAGACTGTATATTTCTCCTCTTAGTTATAGCTGAAATCCCCCTCTAGCTCTCTCATGTGCTTGTCAGTGGTTTTCTGTGTGTGTGTGTGTGCACGCTGCTTCGATTGATGCTTTGGCTCCTCTTGAGAAGCTCCAGGGCCTCGCTGTCTGCCAGTGTCTTCCTAAAAGCATGCACACATGCTCACACACACATTCATTCAGATCTTCCTTCTTGCCTTTTGTCTCTGTTTATTTTCGTAGCCTCACCTGTATGCTCTTCAGCTCGGTTGTCTTTTGTTTGATGTCAGAATAAATGGAGTTTATGTAATAAAAGGTCACACTGAGCATACCTTTGATATACAAAACATAGTCAGTGTCCATTATCTCATTAAAACCTGAAATACAAATGGTCAGCAGCATCCTCAATATTAACAGTTATAATAAATACCTTTCAGATAAACTTAGGTGCAGTGTGACCCGTTAGACTGACAGACGGGCAGTGAACGAATGAGTGAATGATGCAATTACTCAGGCATTTGGTTCCATACACCTCCCAGCATGGAGCTGGCCGTCGCCAGTGGCTGAAGCCCAGATTTCATCACCACACTGATTTAAGTCCTTTCAGATTACAGCCACTCCTTTTTACAGGCTGAAATAAATAAACTGATTGACCTATTTTACATTATGGATACATATTGTAGCAAACAACACTTTGCAGTAACAAATGAGCATCAAAATTAGTGTAAGATTAATTTAGTGTCTTACAGTTGGTAGCCTTCTACCCTGTTAAAACTTACCAAACCTCCCTATATAACAATAACAGCTACTGGAGTCTGTTGCTTTGTTTTATTTGAGAAACATGTCATTAGCTGAGCTGATTTCTTCTGCTGTATTTATGTCAGTTATGCCAATTTCTTCTTTAAAAGTCAGTTCACATCAAAGTAAGCGCTAAATATAAATTGGGGGGCGGAGTGTTTTTACACAGCACCTTGAGTGAGAGAGTTGCTATTGTGTGTTTATTGTGGATTTAGTAACCACAAGCACTACGAAACCAAATGCGCGCGCACACACACACTGCATACTGTAGTCAGACTGTAGACAGACAGTCTGCTTATCCTCTCCCTCCTCTCATCTCTGAGCCAAGCCTCAGGAACACAGCGCCCACCTGGAATAGTCTGGCCCTGCTCTCTGGCCTACCCTCAGGCACTGTATGTGTTTGTGTGAAAGGAAGCAGCAGAGGAAAACTGCACTCGGTATGAAGCAGAAGGCATTTGTATGCACAGGTTTTCAATCTCATTTAAAAGAATCTGTTTCTGTCCTTTTAAGGCCTGTGAAGGCAAGTCGCTGCTTTTCTTTGTCTCCTCAGTCCTGAGTTGCTCTCTTGAAGCAGAAATAAAACATTCAGATGCAAGACTGCTCTAGGTTTCTCTAGCCCTAATGTTTTGATAGACTGTCTTTTGAATGATGATTCAGTATATTTTGTGTTCTGTTTAAGCTGCAAGAGAGCCATACTCATTTCAAACAGTTTAAAAAGTACATTTGAAATTGTGCAAAGCAGGGAAAAGCCACAAGAAGTTGAACAGCATGTGTCATATGTAGTTGTTTTGTTTTACTTCCAGTGGACTTGACTGAAAACTGAGATGCAAGTATTTGTGATGAAAAACATGTAACACCAAATATGACTTTAAAACAAGTTCGTCTGTGTGAGTCAGTGTTGGAAGATTAAATTACTGCAACCTGACTTATTAACTGTGACACAGACACTTTTAAGCAGGACTCATTAGATTAGAGTTAGCGCATTACACCAATTTATTCCTAATATTCTTCTTCTCTCTTTTCTTTTTCGGTTGTTATAATTGTTCTTCTTAATACCAACCAGCATATTCTTCAACAGTATGGTAACACTAGAATGTAATAACTTGTAGTTCAGCACGATCTGCACTAAAGCTAAACCAATGGATTTCAGAGCCCGATATTGCCCGATATCAGGTATATGGTAATCCATTGGTGTTTGTATTTATAACGATGATAATTAAAAATGTATAAAGTGAAATAGGGAATGGCAAAACAAGCTTGACGATGTTTGAGTGTTAAAGTTGCATAGTTTATCCAGAGAAGGGTGTCTTGCAAATCCCTTTTTGGCAGCACACATATTTGGAAATCCACAAGCCCAACACCCAGCTGATCCGAGCAGCGTCAGACAGGGTGTGGGTTTAAAAAAACAACTATCTTAGTGAAGTTTAGAGAAATCTGTTTATGCTTGTGTGTCTGGAAGAAAAAATATATTGGCTGATATATAGGATTATCCTCTATTTAAATAAAATATCCGTATTGTTTATGAACGATGCCGATACAGATATTTAAAAATCTTGTATCTGCGGTATCTGTGTCGCTGTCACTTCTCATTAGTACAAGGTCATGCCATTGGATGATATTAAAATTTTAATGGGACATCTGTTCTCTTCTTTTAGGTGGAACACTCCTTTAATTATCTGGAGATCCAGGGAATTGCTTGCAACAAGCCAACGCAGGTACAGAAAAATATGAAAGAAAAAAGCTTCACACTACAGTCATTCTCATGTTAAGAGTAAGAACAAAGTTGAAGCTGTCCAGCTATTCCTTTAAATTGTGTTTCCATTTTGTGTTGTTGTTAAAGTGCATCATCTGTGTTATATCTGTAACCTGTCTAGATGCTGTTTAAAGCATTACGATTAAAAGTGAAGCATTGAATAGTCAGTGAGACAATAGGCACATAAACACACATGCCTAAACTTTTATATGTCAGGTTTTAATATTGTTTTGTTTCTGTGTGTGCTCATGATGTTTTAATCATCAGCATATATTGTACTAATACACTAAATCTGGTGAAAAGACTTTTTATCCTATTTAGGGACACTTCAGCAGGATGAAAAAATAAAATAGACAAATCTAAAACTATGGCAGGAAAACGTCTTAAATGCTGGTATGATCTGTAGAAACTCATTAATTCACGGCTAACCAGAACGGAACATCTGTGCCAAGCTGCCAGTCAGCAGGATTTATCCATAAAATATGATAATCCAGCACTAACCACCCTGTTCCTGGAGCTGAACCTCTGTCCCACTCGTCTGAGAGATGTCAGTCCTCTTAATATCTTGACCGATGGTCTCCCATGTATCAGCAAAGATTATGTAAATTTTGGCCGGTAGAAGAGGCTCTGATCTGCATTTGCATAATTGTAGTGAATGCTGAAATGGTCAGCCAGTCTTGGTTAATACTATTAAATCATTACATGCAGAGATGTGGGATAGAACTGTTGTTACGTAGATAGATGGGTTTTTACATTTTTTTCACTTTAATTGTTTTCAGTAGATTCCAGGGAGGTGTTTTAAAAAAAAAAAAAAGTCAAATATGGATTAAAATGAACAGAATAAGACACATGCATGCAAAAACACACAATACATCAATGTTGAATCCTAACATTAATTATCAGTCAGTTATATCTGATTAAACCAGACCGAAGGACAAAATAAAAATGTGTTAGTCCCTTAACTAAATGGGTGCACTTGTGATTGACTTGCAGTGAAGGTGGAATCATTAATTGTTGTGATAACTAATTAAGATTATGTCCGTTAAGCTGTCCATAGAATATGAGCGCGGCTCATTTTCGTTGAAGTTGCCCTCCACAGACGAGGTGAATGAGGTGGTGGCTCACATAGGAAACTGTATGCAGAGGATATGTCCAGGTCTGCCCCCTAGGTGAGTTCAGTGTGTGCGTGTGTGTGTGCGCGTGTGTTTGTGTGTGTGTGTGTGTGTGTTCTGGTTCTTCCTATCTTTGTGGTGACCAAAATGTGACCTTTACTATACTTGTGGGGACCAACAGCCCTTATGGGGAACAAAATCCTGGTCCCCATAAGTTTGAAGGCATTTTTCAGACTGAAAATGTGGTTTTAGTGTCAGTGTTACAATTGGGTTATGGTTAGGTTTAGGGT